GCTTCTGCTGGTGCTGCGGGTCTTGAGGCGGATGCAGGTGGTGGTGCAGTTGATGGCCGAACATCCCAATACATGAAATCAGCTTCCTCCGATGTGTCAACCAGCTTTACCTTGTAACGGTTGTTCGCCACAATTGCCCTCACTATCCCTTGATGCCAGACATCACGCTGCAACACCTCCACACGATCCAACAAAGAGTACGACAAGTTTAGGGTAGGACGTGATGCACCTCGTCGTTGACCGGTGCCAACTGGTGAGGACGCGGCTGGTGGTTGACCGGTGGCAACTGGTGAGGACGCGGCTGGTGGTTGACCGGTGGAAACTGGTGAGGACGCGGCTGGTGGTTGACCGGTGCCAACTGGTGAAGAGGCGGGTGGTGCAGGGGATTGGTGAAGGACTAACTGCTCAAGCGTCGCCAATCTTTTTTCCAAAAGGTCAATGGTAGCCCTCAGCTCCAACAATGATGTCGACTCAGGTGCTGGTGCTTGAGGAATATCGACTCTGCTCCCTACACCCCGATGTTGAATCTCTAACTCATACAAAGATCTCCAGAAGATCTTCTTCTTCTTCACCGTGAGATGATGCATCCAATCCTCAACACCTACATCAGCGAGTCCTATCTCATCATCATATCCAGGATCTAATACCCGAGTCAATAGTTTTTCTTCACCCGAGTCTGCAGGCTTCAAGATGCTATGGATGTCCTGGCAACAAAAAAAAAAAAAAACAAATTAGTGACAAACCAAAATAAAAGAAACATAGTTGTACCAGTTGTCCTAATTGTCCCACGACCAATAATCTTTAATATTACATAGTTGTACCAGTTGTCCTAATTGTCCCACGACCAATAATCTTTAATATTACATGGTTGTACCAGTTGTCCTAATACCACTACCAACAAGTCAAACATAGTTGTATCCTATTGTCCAATAACCAAACCAATCAAATACTAACCTTTGCACTTGTTCCAATTGCTGAGTTTATATCATCCAATGGAATGCCTTTCATGCAAACATCGGTGAACTTGTGCTTGCACATCCTCGGACAGTCTTTCTCTGCAGGTACGGTTTCTCGAAATTTGCGGCCAAGGCTATGAATACACTCAAAAGCAAGTATCTAGACAAAAAGTCAAAAAATTAAACCCTAAATAATGTAAATAATTTAGCTTCTATAAACTATTGAATGAGAATTACCTGTAGAGGAAGAATGAAACCAGACAAGGGACATTCTGCTTTTTTGCCTTTCATGGTGCCATCAAACTTTGCCATCACATGCCGAATCTCCTTCATCATGTCATCGAATGTGTAACGCCCCCAAGGGAATGATTTACACACATTCAAATCACTGACAACTCTGAGCAAGAACGGATCAATGTTACCATCAGTCTTGTATTTCGATTTCACTACCTTGCATAAAAACTAGAGGAGGGCCATTTTCTTCCTGTCCACAGAGGGATCCTTCATTTCATCAAATTTTTCTTCCACCTCCCCAATATTGATTTTATCGGCCCTACCAAAATGCTTCTTAACAAACTTTGTGTTCCCCAAATTGTTGTAGTCAGCCGGATAATCACGACAATCAAGTCCACTCAAAAGCGCATGCTCTCCCAGAGAATACCTTATCGGAACTCCGTTAACAACAAACCAGCACTCACTAGGCCTATCAGTATGAGCAGTGTGAAGGAGAAGCATCCACAACCCTTGATTCATGTGGTTGGGCTCCTTGAACATGTGAAAAATGTGCTTAAATTGAGGATGCGCTCTGAACCATGCTTTCTCCTCATCAAGATTTTCAATCTTGTCCACAACAGCTCTAACTGAGCACCTTGTCAATATCCTACAACCCTGGCTGTACTCGGTTGGACCAAAGTAAAGCTTCTCAGGCACCATAGGTTGACTACCATCATCGCCATCCTGAGATAAAAACAAGAAACACAATCATGAGATTTAGTTGTCCTAGTTATCCCAGTTGTCCAACTGCCAAACGTAATTTTGTGCAAATAGTTGTCCTAGTTGTCCCAGTTGTCCGAATGCCAAACGTAATTTCGTGCAAATAATTGTCCTAGTTGTCCTAGTTGTCCAAATGCCAAACGTTATTTCATTAGTCACAGTTATCCCAGTAGTCCCAGTTGTCCAATTGCCAAACGCAATTTCTAATCACACACAGTTATCCTAGTTGTCCTAGTTGTCCAAATACCCAACATAATTTCATTCAAATAGTTATCCTAGTTGTCCTAGTTGTCCAACGACCAAACATAATTTCGTTTAGAGTATACTTACCTCTAAATCCTCTTCTTCCGCTGCATTTTCTTGCTCTTCATTTCCTTCCTCTTCATTTCCTTCCTCTCCTTCTCCCTCGTCGTCTTTCTCGGGTGTCCCCCCTCCCTCTTTGTCTGCTTCTTTCTCGGATTCCTCTTCTCCACTATCTTTCTTGGATTGCTCATCCTCAACTTCCTCTTCTCCTGTTTCTTTCTCGGATTCCTCTTCCTCGGCTTCTTTCTCTGATTCCTCTTCCTCGGCTTCTTTCTCTGATTTCTCTTCCTCGCCTTCTCTTCCTGAAGCCTCATCCTCAGATACATCTCCCTCGCCTTCTTTCTGGGATTCTACCACACCCTCTTCCTCGGCTACTGTATCCGCTAAACCCTCTTTTTCAGGTTCTTCACGCGATTCCAACCGCTCCTCTGGATGATGCGTCGCACCTTCGTCCATGGGTGTTGGTGCGGTTTCTGGGGCTTCTTTGGTGGTTTCCGTACCGGCTGGTTCTGCTTCCGTCAATGATTCTTCTTCACCCCGAGTTTCTTCATGGGTTGTTTCTTCATCATTCGCCGGAGGGTTTGGTGTTATTCCGGGTTCTTTATCTTCCATATCTGCTTCTTCGCTGCGCTTGGGTACATATTCGTTCGAATCATATACCACGCCCTTAAGTAAATTTTTAGCCATCGAGTTAGGCTGGATTTAGGGTTTGTCTTGAAGAAAGGGAAGTTGAAGAAGGAGCAGTTACAAAATCGAGCAAGTGTCGTTTCAAGGGGGAGGTTACAGAATTTTCGGAACAGAGAAGGAAGTGGAGATAGTTCGGGGAAGATGAAGAGAGAAAGAGGAGAAAATTTGATTTTCGTTTTTAAGTTTATGTTTGGTTTTGAAAATTAAATTCATTCGGTTCGGTTTTATTTACCCAATTTTCGGTTTACCAATTTCAATTTTCTGATTTCTGATTTCAAATTGAGTAATTTTAAAAAAATATATATATATATTTTTCCCGGGTTTTCGGGTCGGACATAAAACGGGTGGGTTATACCCTGGTATTTTTGTAATTTTAGAGACATATGAGGATAAGGGTATACTTACCCAAGTTTTTGTTAATAAATTTAATTCAAAAATAAATTTGTTTTTAGGTACATTGCTTTTTAGCCAACTTTTTCTCCTCTTATGGCTTTTCAGCCTCGCACTCTGTTGATTTATATGTTAACAAACACCTCAAGAACAAAGACAAGTTTATGCTGCAAATGAGAAAATAGGCTTTGGATTAGAAGTTAGAGTTCAGATCAGCTTGTTCACAAAACATCAGAAAAAAAAATTATTACAATATTAAAGTAGACATTGCAAAAAAAATATTTATTAGTTTTTTGTCAAAACAAAAATTCTCTAAAAAAACTAAAAGTGATTGCAAAAAAAAAAAAAAAAAAAATGGATCACATAATTTCAGTTACAACAAGTAACAAAAAATGAAAGAAACTAAGAAAAGCGAAAAATGCCAAAAAATATTTCAACTATTTAATTTTTGGAAAAAATCCACACAAACTTTTAACGTTGTTAGAAACTCATACAAAATATATTTTCAATTCATAAAAAAACCTAAACTTTTTAAAGTTCTATTTTTTCTCCTCTGATTTCACGGCTGTTTTAACGGACATAACGGAATCAATAAACAACGTTAATTTTTTTTGTAGGAAAAATTGCTAAAAAATAACATCAACTATTCAATTTTGCCAAATATCCACACAAACTTTTTGCATTGCCAGAAATCCACATAGGTTATTTTTTGTATCTATAAAAAATACTCAAACTTTTTAAAGTTTCTTTCCTCAGATTTCACAGTCATTATAGATATAACGGAATCGAGAAACTGCATTAGTTTTCCATAACACGTGTTAATTGCTGTCGGATTAATACCATTATTACCCTTAAGAAGAAAAACCTAAACTCTAATTTTTTTCTCACTATTTCAAAAACTGAGTGAAATCGGTTGAAAATATGGTTCGTAGAGCAATAAATCATGTTCCGAACATATACATCATCTCCTCGAATTGCTCTTACTAGTCTTATATACCACAACACGCGCTGTTTCCAACTCGATTTAGACTCCCAACTATATTTTTCAACCGATTTCACTCAATATCTAAAAGAGAGAAAAAAATTTTAAGTTTTTTTTCCCCAAATCGATTTGGAGATTTTCTAAAGGTAACAATGGTATCAATCCTAGAATAATTAGCACATGTTATGAAAAACTAACATAATAACTGTGAAATTTGAGGAGAGAAAATATAATTTTAAAAAGTTTGGATATTTTAATGGATCGAAAAAATAGTTTATGTAGATTTTTGGCAATGCAAAAAAATTTTTTGCAGGTTTCAGGCAAAATTAAATAGTTGATGTATTTATTTAGCATTTTTTCTTAAAAAAAAATTAACGTATAGCCGTGAAATCAAAAGGAAAATATGAAACTTTAAAAAGTTTAAGTATTTTTATGGATAGAAAAAATATAGTTTATATGGTTTCTGGCCAGGCTCCGGTTTTTTTTACGAATTATTACAGAGAAAAACATCTCTAAACACAAACAAAGCATTTTACACGAACAATAATAATATCAAACATCTGCAAATTAATCGATTCCGAGGTTAATCCATCAAAGTAAAATTGTCAAGAAATCACAATGTATCTTTGTCAATCGATATCATTAACATCGAAATCAGAAAAATCAAACCTTTTTTTTGAACATCCTTCAAATCAAACCACCCAACGAAAGTCATACGTAACAAAATATATAAAATCAAATTTCCCATCGGAAAACAGAGAATTTCGGGATGAATATTTCTAAATCAAAATCCTAATTTCATCACTTGCCTTGTTCGGTTTCGTGTTGAACAGCTTTCATAATCAACCCATTGTGATGCACCACCATAATCACCGGCGATTTTCCAAATGCCCTAGCCATCGCCGTCAAAACCTCTGCCAACAAATCCCTAAATTTTTCCGGGACCAAGTTCTCGCCGAATCTCTCGAAAATCGCCTTGTACACGTTATCGGTTTCTTCTCCCGACGCGACTTCAGATTCCACAGCCACCACACGGTTAAGACCTTGCCGGAGCTCCGACGGCGATAGCATTCCGTTTTTGTCCAGATCTAGAATCTGGAAATAGTCGTTGGTGATGGATTCGAAGGATTTTGTGTCGGAGATTAATCCCATAAGAGTTTGGCTCGTGAATACCGTTTCGATCATGGTATTGAATTATGAGGAAGATTTCTCCGATCTTTTTGCAGAAATGAAGAGATTGAGATCCGAATCTGAAAAATTCCTTTCTTAGCAAGTTTTTGTTGTTTGTTTATTTTGTTTTTCTTTATTGTTTGCTTAACTCATAATACGTTGCTTGCATGTTTTGCCGAAGAGAATAGAAAGTGTCTCACTTTTGTCCATTTCTGGCTTTTTTTTATATTCTGTCTCTTATTTAAAAAAAAACGTCTTTTTTTGTTTTTTTTTTCTAGTTAGAAAATTTTATTAAATTCTTTAGAAAATATATAGCCGGTGGAAACTAAAATCGTGGGAGTCAAATCTACCGTAAAAGAATTTTTTTTTTTTTAGACAAATCCCTGTGAAAGAGAAGCATACGAAATGAAAATTACAACGCATAAATTCGATCCAGCTCGGGTAGTACTGCTCTCAAATGACCGAGAGCTGTAAAATATCGAACGAGAGAAATTCCTTATAAACCGGTACGAAGTATAATATAAGAGTTTTAGGCACGTTTTCTCCAACTATTCAAATTCATACAGATTTATAAACGATTTATAAATATTGGTTACAAATTAAATTGCCAGAATCCGTGAAATACTCTGTTGTGCCTCTACCGTGTCTACACACCAGTCTAGCCCTATACGTCTTATGATTATCATGCGAAAACTCTATTCAGCTTCTCCTATAAGATCATTCTGAATGTTGCAATTATTCCGTTAATCCAATTATTCATCGGTCTACAAAACAAACACAGTTCACAGTCTAAAGTCTCACAAGACAAAACTCTTAATGAGAGCATCCAAAGAGTTTTAAAATAAACAGAGACTTCACCTGTAATATAAGGACGCTAGCTTTTTGGGTTAGATGTCTAGGAGGAATACAAAAACCAAAACAAACGCTGCGAAAACCATCAGAATCAGAGAAAAGCTTGAAACTCCAAACGACGACGGAGCAGAGGATGAAGAGCTCAGATCCGATGTTAGCGAATGCTTTTCAGAAGAATATGAAGAAGAGCTCCACGACCACAACGGAGCAGAGAACGAGGTCTATGATCAATGGTTGATCCATTTGCTTTCAGCCTTCTTCCCACTCGACGTCGTCTTCTTCTTCTTCTTCTTCATTTGCTTCCACATTCAAGTCCACCTTGTAGTCTCCATTTGCTGCAAATTAAGTTACATGAAAAGTAACCAAGCTGAGCATCACATAATCCTTATATCTCATGAGACAAAGTCCCTATTTATCATTTATAGCGCACTAATATAGTTAGACTATAAGTATGTCTTAACAAGTATCTTCTAGTTAAAGCTCTAAAAAAAAACTAAACAAGGTTCCTTCTACCTGTGTAATGTGATCGACTAGTTAACGAATTGGAAATGAAGTAATAGTAAAATCAAACTGACCTGCAACAGGAGCCTCTTCTTCCCATTCAACATCCTCTTCATCTTCCTCTTCACGTTTGGACTTCATACCAACCTGACGATCTGACGATGTAGTAGCCAACAGACTGTCAGAAGTTGATACGCCTGCGGATTCTTGCTGAGTTGGCTTTTCAGCTACCTCTTGCTGCTTCAATAGAGCGGCGTAGTAAGCTTTGAGATACTCATCCTGAAACGAAAATGGAAATAAAATGTATCAAGATTCTCGAAACACAATCCACAAGAATGCTACTGTGTGAATCTAAAGAAGTTTTAACCAGAAGGCATACCTTCAAATCTTTATCATCGCCATTTCCCATGGCTGACTTCTTGTCATCTGAGAGTTTTGATGCTCCTCCTGAGACACCATCAACCTTTGCTTCCTGTCTCATCTCTCCTCTTTGTTCCTCGGTCAGCTTCATTCCTTCCTTGATCATCCATGGAGGCAAGATTTTCTGACTAGAATCTCCACCTTCAGATTTGACATCTTCTTTTCCTTCACCAAGGTTAACCTCAACCTAACCATATGTATGATTTAAGAAATCAACTTGCCACACAATGAAATAGGAAAAATTCAGGGAAAACTTCAGCAGGTTTTGAGTAAACTTATTCCTCGTTACAGTTCTAAATGGAAAAACAAAACTTTGTTGATCCACTAAGCTTTTCTAGCACAATATAAATTTGCAGATGTGTATGCAGAATTAGAAAAAAAAAAAAAAAAAAAACTAGACTGCAGATGGAGAAACAAACGGGAAAATTCTTTACAATACCATCACCTCATCTTCCATAATAACACAGAATTTCTAAATACATTGAGAAGTGTAACTAATAATTACCTTCGTCTCTCCGAGAAATGGCATTGGTGTTGAACCATATCCACCCTGTGTCCTCGAAGGATCATTAGGGTTAAGATCACCATTTGCACGGGCAGCCATAGCAGCACGAGCCTCCCATGCATGAAGAGATTCAACGCCCGGAAACGGTAGGTCTTTTACTCTATTTATTTGATCCATTAGAGGTCCCAGTCGATCCTGCACTTTCCAATTATGTCAACGCACAAACTACATAACTAATGCCAGAATACAGAAAACAGCAATCAAGCAAATCTAATCACTAAAAAACAGCACGGTATAAAATGATATAACAGAACAATTTTTTCCTAACTCATCATATAAGTAAATATAAGATGATGTCGACAATGAGGTAATATATCAGCACGACTAAAGTGATGATCTCTATTCTTTGACCAAAATAAATAACTACCCATGAAATCAAATTAATATAATATAAGCCATAAATAACTTTTTGGAAATATAATACTAATCACCAAAAACACATTTAAATACAGCCACATACTTTTTTTTTTCTTTTTTTTTTTGCAATCTCAAGCATTAGACATTTAGTAACGGATCTCATAGAAAACTAAATAAAAATCATGAATATGGAACGACGCACAGCTTCAGTGAAGAATATTCAATTTTTGTCTTTATCAAATTTTCATTGTACTGAGCCGCTAAAAAAGGTATACACAGACAGACCTCTACATTCTGAAGCAAAACTTTGAGTTTTTCCCGCTGCCGTCTCTTTGCATTGTCACCTCCATCTACTACTTCTTCGGAGGTTAGCTTATTACATTCCACAACAAGTTCACCATTGCAGTTTTCACAATGAAAAGAATCGTCTTCCATAGAAATTAATCTCAGGGCATCCAGTGCATTATATCTATACCAGAAATGAGAAGCTATTCAGGTCTACGGAACACAATACAAGAATGTATAGCTTTTATAACATAACGAGTAGTGGACTTTACTTCCTTTGGCAGTTAGGACAGCCATACTCCTGAACAGTATTCTTATCTTCTAGTTCATCTTTGAGTTTTTTTTTAATCCGGTCCAGCTTACAACGAACCATATCATATATCTGTAAGAAAGAAGGATTCATATAATTTTTTTTTAAAAAAACGAAGGTAAAACAGCAAACTGAAAACAAAAAAAAAAAGAAGTACGAGGGATATGAAGCATACCTGTTGATAATCAAGACAGCAATACGAGTGCGTGTGGAAATTCACTTTGTCCTCTGCTCGGCCATCAGTTGTAGCAGCCACTGCAGCACTATACATCTTCGCACGCTTTGCAGTCTATTGAAAGATTCAGAATCAATAAAACAACAGTTGGAGGAAAAGAAGTGTTACAGAATCAAAGAGAAGCAAACAATCAAACAAAGAAATGTAGAAAACGTGGTGAAAAAATATAACCACAAGTTGCAAAAGGGAAAAAAAAATATTTACAGGAAACAATGAGCATCAACAATTCAGGAAAATAGAAGACCGCAACACTCGGGATTAAAAAGTACCCAGCCTATCATTCTCTCACACTCATGTTCTTCAACAATCTAGATATTTTATGACAATATGCTATTTATCGCAAGACTAAAAGAGTTGTTGAGTTATAGGCTTAACAAGAACAAGAATGTGCAATAAGTGCTATATATCAATATGAAAGAGCATAGTTTCTGCACACACCTCTTTCCTGTGGACACGCATGACCAATTTTTGTTCTTCAAAGTATCTTAATATTTTTCGGAGTTGCTTGGCGTTCGACCTCAAGTCTTTTGCTAAGTCTTCTTCTCTAACCCATTGCCGTCTAGCATACATAGAACAAAATAAATACAAGAAGTGAAAGTCAGCGAAAACATAGCGGGTTTAAAAAACCAATCTAAGCAATATCAAGTTCCGCGAGTTAGTCTACCATTCTCCTCTAACCCAAAGTCACATAGAGATGTTATCCATTTATTCAACAAACATAATTACGCAGTGGATTCACAAAAACATTGTGGAAACTATTGTGACAACTTCAGATCTTATCAAAATTCACCAAATAGACTTTTGGGGGTAGAAATCGAAGAAATGCATACAAACCTCGTAAGCGCATCAAGCACCACAACGGCAGTTCCTCTGCTGTCACTTCTTGCAGATTTCTGCTGATTATCGCTTACAGTAGTATAATTATCATAGAAAACCCTTGCTACAAGCTTCACCAGCCTGAAAATTAACATAGGAACCCAAAAACAAATCGATAACGGCACTGTTTGAACATATATATGAAAATTCTGGACCAAAACGAAGAGTTTTACGGTGTAGAGAGTTACTTGATAAATGGTTCGAGCACAACGGTTTTCTGCACCGGGACTGATATTTCCATGGGATTAACAAACCAGATACAAGCCGAGGAACCAGTGTTAGGTTAGTGTCTTAAAAACAATCTCCTGCACTGAAGCAGAAGATCAGTTTTCGCAAAGAGAACAAACTAGAAACGGAAAGAAGCACACTGCAGAATAAGGAATGGTCACAAGATACGTTTTTTAAATGATTCAAGGCCAAAGAGAAAGCTAAACCCTCACTCGAAATTGGCTCACACAGTAAAGCAAACGGACAGATGAAAATTTGTTCGAAGAACCTATGCTAATGCCACCAACCCGTGCGATAATACCCATGGACATGAACTAACAGAGATGCTTTTAGCTAAAAATCGAAGAAACTACGACCTCGATTACAAACCCCAGCTCCATCGACGAGAAGAATGACTTCCAAATCCGAATCCAAACCAGAGCAAAGGGAAGTCAGGATATTCAACAAATCAAAGGGAAAAACCTCAATTTTAAAGAAACCCCACCCAACCAGGCAATACGGAAATGAATTCGTCAGGACAAAAATTATATCACAGAAAACGCAAGGTGAACGACAATCCAAAAAAAAAAATAATAACGCAAGGTGAACGTAAGAGAGAAATTGAAACCGATGATAAATCCCAAACCCAAAGACTCACCGAGAATCTCAGATAAGGGAGAGGATCAGTGCAAAAAGTGATAGAAGAGAAGAGAGATTCACAAATAAAGAATCACTTTTTGAGCCTCAAATCCGTAGGAAAAGGTGAAGAATGCGCAAAAAATCCCAATCTAGAAAAAAATATGCCCAAAAAAAAAAAACTCAAATGTTATAATCTAATAGTTAATTTAGTTTTGATTTTTTTTAGTAACTAAAACCCAGAAAAATTAGAGGCGTTTACATGTTTGAGTAGGTCTGGGTATTCGGATAAACGGTTCGGTTCCGGGTAGGAACCGTTCGGTTCCGGATATTTCGGATACGAAGATTTTTTATCCAAATAGGTACCGAAACAATTTCAGATCGGTTTCGGTTCAGATTTTCTCGGTTCCGGATCGGTTCGATTCCAAAATTATAAAACCGATAAATACCGAAAAAATTGGGTACTTCAATGGTTCGGTTATTTTTGTATCCGGAACCAAAAATTTCTATCCGAAATGAATAAAAAGTACCTGAAATGACAAAAAAATATCTGAAACCCGTTATTTAACCCGAAAATTTCATACCAAATTTTCAATTCAAACAACAAAACCATACTGTTTCAAGTCTTACCACAGCTAAAATTGTTTGCAACAAATAACAACACTCCAAAGTCCAAACAAAAGTCACAAAGACACAAAATCACAAACCATGAAAGGAAAAATCATCCAAAATACAAAGAACACAAAGTACCAAGTTTCAAACTCAAACCACAAAGAACACAAAGTACCAATCTCCAAACTTGAAAGAAGCTATCAGATCACCATCAGCTCACACTCTTTATCATGTTTTTCATCCTTGAAAGTTGAATTCAGGTTCATACTCTGAAGAAAGACAATGAAGATAAAGTTATAACTTAGAAATCATAATCCTAAAGACAATGTGAAATGAAAAAAAAAAGAGTTACTTACTTCTCATAAGCTCATCTTCTAACTCCACATCTGAAAGCATATGTTGAACAGTTACCACTCCTTTTTCATTGATATGGATCTCACACTTTAACCATTGCTCAGTACACATCAGAACTTCAACCATGTAGTGTGTCAAACAACTTCTATAAGGTGTTAACACCCTACCACTAGTGCTAAAAGCCGATTCTGAAGCCACAGATGATACTTGCATTGCGAGTATGTCTTTTACGACCAGTGACAAGATTGGGAACTTACCACTATTCCGTTTCCACCATGATAGGATATCATATTCAGATCCCTTCATCAGCTTTGGTTTATCAACACTCTCTTTCAAATACAGGTCCAACTCATTTGTGAATCTTCAACACCTGATTCTTCTACAAGTTCCTGATATATATCATCCATTCGCCTGTAGCCAATGCTTGTTTTGAGACTCCTTGTATCCACAGCTTCACCTCTACACTGATCTTGAGACTGAGAAGATGATCCATGAGCCTGAGAAGATGCTTTTTGCGATCCACCACTACCACTGTCATTGGTTTTATCCGCAAATATAGTATACTCATCAACCAAGCGCTTCAAGATACTCTCAACCTCATCATAAAGGTGAATAGATTCAACGCTGTCTTTCCCATACAGCGATTCAAAACAGAGCTGAAGAAACTTCATCTTCTTCCTCGGGTCAAAAACAGTTGCCACCATTGAAAGCTTGTTCATCTCCACAATCTTTTCCCTATCTTTTACAGCAAACGGATCCCAATACTTATCTAGTTTCTTATTCATAGAAATGGCTTTACTAATCAACTCATCATCAGAAGCTGGATTTGTCTTTATCTCGTTGATGTTAGTTGTAATAGTAACTATCTCATTATATAGTTTATGCGCAACCACTGATTTTGATGCAGAAAGAATCAATGTTGAATTGTAAAAGATCACAAGGAAATGGACGAACCTTTCTATTTGATCCGAGTCACTCGCACATGGTGGTCCGACCCTCTTCTTCCCTTCCACAGTTTCTGAAAAGTAGTCACTATACGGTTTGTCTTCATCTTTAATCTTCTCAAAAGCCAACCTGAATTTCAGAGCTTGATCTAGCATGAGATAAGTGGAGTTCCACCTTGTCTTCATATCTAAAGGCAAGCTTCCTCTAGTCATCTTCCCGGTTTCAACTCGAAACTCAAACGCCTTCACTCTGTTTGTAGAGGCCCTCACATATAGCATTCCGAATAGAAACGACACTGTTATCTAGCTCTTGCAAGCCATCCTTCACGATCAAGTTCAATATGTGTGTAGCACACCTTAAGTGAAGGTATTCTCCATTGAGAACCATTGCATCATCTCCAACTTTCTTAAACTCTTCTTTGAATCGCCTCATAGCTGAACTGTTTGCGGTAGCATTATCTACGGTAATGTAGAAGACCCTTTTGATGTCCCACTCTTCCAAACACTGAACTAACACCTTAGCAATCGTTGCACCTACATCACAATTAAATAACTTACCAAATCAAAAGCTAACTAATCACTTAAGCAATCACATTTTGCATCATTAACAAGGGAAGACAAAAAAAGGCAAAACAAATAAAAGTTTGAATCGCACCTTTGTGATCATCGATATTCTTGAAACTTAATATCATCTTCCTTAGCCGCCAAGAAGTATCGATAAAGTGAGCTGTTATGACCATATAACTGGCTGAAGTATTAGGAGCTGTCCATATGTCTGTTGTCAAAGACAACCGCTGCTTGTTCTGTCCAAGTATCCTCTTCATAGCTGCTTTTCTTGAAACATATATCTCCACAATGTCTCGTGTGGCTGTTCTTCGAGAGTGAGGAGTGTACTGCTTCGTCTTTGTGGTGAAATGCTTCCAAGCTAAGCTCTCGACAAAAGATAAAGGTAGCTCAGCTAATACCAACATCTCATTCGTAGCTTCTCTGAAGACAAGTTCAGAAACCTTTCCTATACCCATAACTCCATCATCACCAGTGGGAGTTATCACCGTTTGGTTGCTATCTTTGTTAGCAGAAACCCAAGCTTGATACGCCTTACATCCGAAATTGATGTGCTTTATAATGTTGGATGTGCCCGACTTGGACGAACATGCGAATTCCTTACCACAATAATTGCAGTTGCATTTGTCATAATCATTCTTGTGTCGTGTGTAGTGCTCCCAAACTTTTGACCTTGTCTTCTTCCTTTTAGAACCAGCACCTGAACCTTCTTTTTCTTTCCTCTTCCCTTTATTTCCGGTTTCATGTGTTTCAACATCCTCCCCATCTCTTTCAGGTGCATCATCTTCTTCCATGGGATCCCTGTCTTCGCAAGAAGCCATCTGCGAATGGAAATCCACATATGACATACCTCCGATCAAAATCAAATCGAAACAATACGACAATCACATCGAAACAATACGACGAAATCAAATCCAGAATCGAAATCAAATCAAAACGATTGAAACGAAAAAAAAACCAGAATCGAAATCTAATCAAAATGACTAAATGATATCCACATACCTCCGATCTTATTCTCGAAGATGCTGATGACGGTGATGGCAATACGTAATCAGGCTCGGAGCAGTTCTTGTTAGTAGATTCCAGTTTTGATTTTGGGTATTTAGAAAAGGATTGTGTATAGGAGAAGAAGAAATTGGGAGTGGAATCGGTTTCTCTGAAACCCTAAATTTACTCGAAAATAACCCAAAGTTACAAACCATATAATAAAAACTATAAAGTATATCCGATCCGATCGGGTTTTCGGTTCTTACCCGGAACCGAACCGATATCCATGGTTCTAAAAATTTTTATCCATCGGATAAAACAGTCAGATCCGAATCTCGATCCAAACCGGTTATTTCGGGTCGGTTCCGGTTCGGTTTTTCGGATCCGGTGTTTATGCCCAGGCCTATGTTTTAGTTCTTTTTGAGTTTCTATTTACAAAAAAGGTACTTTCGTTTTTGATAGCACTTTTGGTGCAAAAGTAGTTGTGAAATGGCAAGGCAGCCCTTACCAACGACTAAGGGGAATTTTGTCCGGTTGAATATTAGTGTGTTAACCGGTTTGAGAGAAAACTATCAAGGGAGATATACTTTGTTTATTAAGCGAATATCGATATCAATCGACTCCGGCTTTGGTTAACGACGAGGATTGTGACGACGACGATGACGGCGCAATTTGGCGAAGACAATCAGATTTCGGATTTGAAATCGGCCTCACAGTATGTAAATCGTCGTTCTCGAAAACCAATAATTTCCGTCGCTCGAGGAAAAGAGATTACTAGAACGACGTGCCACCGCGTATTTGAGCCCTCGTTTTTTCACCGGAAATGGTTTTCAGAGCGTCCTCGATGCGCAGTCAGCCTTCGAGTCTAAACGGAGCTGGATTCGGAGTCAGTAAACCGGAGCTGGATTCGGAGTCAGTAACCGTAGCTGGATTCGGAGTCCTCGATGCGCACCAAAATAGTAGAATGGATGTAACCATAAGCGAACAGCCATTATTAACCATAACCACTGGAAAACAAAACTAAAAGTATGGATGTAAACAAAATAGTTGCATATTATGGATTAACCATAATCGAATATCCATTACTAACCATCCGCTAGTAAGCACACGGACAGTGGTTGACGGTAGCCCCATGGAAGTATCCATGGTAAAAGAAAGCACACAAACAGTGGATGGTTGTCACCTATTGGAAATATCCATGATATGCAATATCTCGCATACATTGGATGCCTATAGCCTAATGGAGGAATCCATGATAACAGTGGATGCCTTGTTAGAAAATGAAAGGTCTCTGGTACCAGCATAGCGTATCGTGTTACATCCATACTCATTGTAGCTGAAGGTCTCACTAATTGATTTTCATTCTAGATCGCCCCTGATGATGTGGCGATATCCATAGGGTCAGTCATGGTTATATCCACAATATGATCATATCCACAATATGCGCATATCTACATTCGCTGTTCGTCCATTTTACTATCCCATTTTTTCAAGAAGGT